GGGACAAGGCTTGTGCTGGTGAAAAAATCCTCCCAGGGGATTCTGACTAAGCACCACTGCCACAACCTCCATAGCAGCCTCCGGATCCTTGGTGGTCCTACCTGATCCAGCTGTGCCCAGGCAACTCTCCTGTATTCAAAAAATGATGAGCAAATATTCCTTTTTTAGTGACCGATTAAACTATAGATCGTAATGAATCTCCATTTTGTATCTCTAATTCTTTTTTCAGAGGCTGGCACACAGTGGGCACCCAACAAATGTTTTTGGAATGAGTCAGTGGTTCTCGGACTTTACTCTGCATCAGCATCACCTGGAGGGCTTGTTGCAACACAGATGCTGGGTCCCACCCCTAGAATTTCTGACTCAGTCGGACTGGGTGAGGCCTGGGATGTGCAATTCTAACAAGTCTCTGGGTGCTGCTGGTGCAGGAGATCCCATTTTGAGATTCCTGGAATAAATAAAGTTTGAATTGTGAAAGTTCTAATTCTTTTATTACAAAATGGAAATGTTTCTTTTTTCCTTTTTTTTTTTTATTTTGAGACGGAGTCTCACTCTGTTGCCCAGGCTGGAGTGCAGGGGCATGATCTTGGCTCACTGCAACCTCTGCTTCCCGGGTTCAAGTGATTCTACTGCCTCAGACTCCCAAGTAGTTGGGATTATAGGCTTGCACCACCATGCCTGGCTAATTTTTGTATCTTTAGTAAAGATGGAGTTTCACCATGTTGGTCAGGCTGGTCTCGAACTCCTGACCTCTGGTGATCTGCCTGCCTCAGTCTCCCAAAGTGTTGGGATCACAGGTGGTGAGCCACCACATCCGGCCAAAAAATGGAAATGTTTCTATGTGGTCATGGGATTTAAAACTTTCCCCAGTTTTTGAGTTGCCCTTACTTTTTCATCATTTCAATTTTTTTCCTTTAAAAATTTTATCTTTGTGCAGTAAACCACCATGGCATGTATATACCTATGTAACAAACCTGCACATTCTGCACATGTACCCCAGAACTTAAAGTATAATAATAAAAAGGAATTTATATTCTAGAAATTGAAACAGAAAATCATATTTTTCCTGTAATAGCTGCCCTATAATGCTTCGTTGCTTGTTTCTTCTCTATATGTGAATTCCCTAGAGACAAAGCAATTGAAAATATTGGAGGAGTTCTTGTTGATAAAGAATGTTTTCAGACTCATACTTAGCATTGTGGAGATATAACCTAACAGTAAATTATTTTCTCTTAACCTGAAGCTTACAATTTAGTTTGCATTTTTGATTTTTTGGTTAGTTAATTTTCTTTGTCATACTCCTTAAAGTGAGTAAAAATATTAAAAATAATGGAAGATAGTCACAGATACATTATGACCTCAGTCACTGCTAGAAACAGCACAATTAAGAAAAGTAAGTACTACTAAGTGATTTGTCCAATTTGCCTGAGACTTGGTAGTGGACACTTTTTTATTATAGAAATATAAAATTCATCCACTATATATTTTCAGAAAGTGTATTTCTTTGGAAGACTAGCTGGTGCCCCCTCCCCCCACTATATTTATCCAGTAGAGATCTACATAGAGATTGATAGCCCTTATATGTATTTTTTTCAACCTAAGAAATCCTTAAGATTTAAGGATAGCTTTTCTTATTCATACAAAATTATAGCAATGTGCTTTCCTCAGAAAGAACTCCCTAAAGTTTGGATCAACATTGCAGACAGCCTTATGCCTTTGAATCTGGGTGTAGTAACAGTTGCTGGTGGTGAAGTAATAAAATGTATTGATTTTATTTATTGTACTCCCATGAAAAGGCTGTATAACTGGATTGATGGAATAGAAGATTACTGGAAATATTTATATAGGGCTGGGAAACTTTAATCTTGTACACAGTGCAGAATTGGACTATATTGCTGGGCTGAAAGGAGGCATCTTGTAAGAAAGAACTCTTCGTAATGAACTACTCTTGCAAAGCTATTCATCATAAATAACATTTTTATTGAGTGCTTACCATGTGTGCAGCACTGTATTAGATCTTTTTCTAAAGTGTAAGTTTTCTTTTTTGGCCTGTTATGTACTTTTAAAAGATAAATTGATAAAAAAATTACCATTACCCCATATAATTCAACATAAAACACTTATTAAGGTATTATTTGCTTATGATGATGTACATAGATCATAAATGTACGATTAGATCTATTTTTGACAAAGCCATGCACTCCTGTAATATACAGCATCATCAATCAAGACAGACATTTTCATCTCTCAGAAAGTTCCCTCAAACTCCTTTCCCATCAGACACGCTCCCTTCCTCAAATAACCACTGATCTGTTTTCTCTCTGTATGCTCTCCTTTGTGTCTGGCTTCTTCGGCTCAGTGTAATGCTTTTGAGATTCAACCCTGTTGTGTGTATCAGTGGTTCATTCCTTTCTAGTTCTGAGTAGTAATCCAATGTACAAGGTACATACAAATTTGCTATGTACCGCTGAGGTTTCCCCAGTTGAGTGGGAGCATAGACAGGATCTAAGAGTTATCCTTTAGCTATTTTCTCCACTCGTCATACTTTAAGACTTAATATTCAAGCCATTGTTCCTTGAGGTGCAAACCTTGGACCTCCTTCATTAGCACTACTAGAGCTCCACTACTGGATCTGAGCTAATCAGATCAGAATTTAAATACAAGAGAGAGGACCCGCTATTTCTAGCAACCTCCCTCTTTAGGATGCTTCTGAACATTATTTGATACTATTTCTTTAAGCAAGTTTTTATGAATATAAAGGGTTAAGGAAAGGGCTAGAAAAATGGGAAACAAAATGTCCAAATTGCTCCCAGTAATTAATGTTGATGCATTACAACAGGGGGTAGACTGTGTGAGGTGAAGCAGCAGGGTCCTAGGGCCAGGCTTAATTAATTAGAGACAGAGAATCAGACTTGAGCAAGTTACTTCACCTCTCTGAGCCTGAAAAGAAGGGTGTGGGCAAAACAGAAGGGAAGAAGGTGAGAAGAGAAGAAAACAAGCCTCTGTCAGCTCATGGTGTCTCAAAGAGGCAGAAACATTTCAGTTTAAAGAAAACCAAAGCCTTCCTTGCTTTTCCTGATCACTCTTCCCACCTGCTATTTCCCTGAAGGCTGCAAGCCTCACCTGTTATTTTCCACGTTGCTGCCTCCCAGCAGAAATGGGAGTACGGTTCAAAATTAAAAGAGCAGCATATCAGTGCTTCTGAATCACAGGCTGAAAAAACACAGTCCAAAGAAATGGGATCTTTTCTCTCATGTGTGGTGATAAGGTGCTTAAATGTCAACTTGAGAAGAACAAGATAAATAATAGCAATGAGCCATGTGATGCACCCAAAAATGTCAGGCTGGTGCCACATGCTGTCCAGTAAAATATTTTGAATGATCTAGGGGTGGGGATGGGAGTATATACTTTTTATTTATGCAGTTTATTCTATCTTTAAGTGCCAAACTGCAACAAAACATTTTCATCACTGTGGTGAAATGTCTGGCTATCTCATGGTTGCAGTCGCTGCATAGACACTGTGCACAGATAAACACACATCTATTTCATCTGTCTTTGTTCAACATGTCTTCAGGCGTATCTCCTGGGCTGCCACCATCACCCGACTATCCCGGAGGGTGGGACTCAGAGCTTCTCGGGCTACCTGTCAACAGGCTAACACATCCCCACACACTGCTCACCTTTGCCCTTCCTCTCTTCTCAGGGTTTTTGGGGAGAGGGGAGATGAGGTAACTGAAGCCATCTTGACCATTGTCCTAGCCAGACCTTTCCTCTTCCTCAAGGGAAAGGCTTCTACCTGCAGTTAGTCAGGTCCACTGGGTATTTTAGAATATAGGTTATATTACATATCATTAATGGAATAAAATCTGACAAAAACACAAATTTTTGTTAGTAGTAATATTAATATCTATATATTTTAATAAACTATATTATATTTCTATTTTGAGACATGTATACTATACTTGTAAATAAAAAATTAATGTTGATATTTTTAGAAATCATAATTTTCACTGTAAGAGAAAGGAGATAATGAGTATAAATTTCTTTTTTTTTTTTTGAGACGGAGTCTTGCTCTGTCTCCCAGGCTGGAGTGCAGTGGCATGATCTCAGCTCAGTGCAAGCTCTGCCTCCCAGGTTCACGCCATTCTCCTACCTCAGCCTCCCAAGTAGCTGGGACTACAGGCACCCGCCACCATTCCCGGCTAATTTTTTGTATTTTTAGTAGAGACGGGGTTTCACTGTGTTAGCCAGGATGGTCTCGATCTCCTGACTTCATGATCCGCCCTCCTCTGCCTCCCAAAGTGCTGGGATTACAGGCATAAGCCACCGTGCCCAGCCTAAATTCTTCTTTTTTTTTTTGTTTGACGTGGAGTCTGGCTCTATCGCTAGGCTGGAGTGCAGTGGTGTGATCTCAGCTCACTGCAACCTCCACCTCCCGGGTTCAAGTGATTCTTCTGCCTCAGCCTCCCGAGTAGCTGGGACTACAGGCACACACCACTGCACCCAGCTAATTTTTGTATTTTTAGTAGAGACGGGGTTTCACCATGTTGGCCAGGATGGTCTCGATCTCTTGACCTGGTGATCCGCCTGACCCAGCCTCCCAAAGTGCTGGGATTACAGGAGTGAGCCACTGCACCTGGCCACGAGTATAAAATTTAAAAGAAAAACTTGGGTTGTTTTTTATTAAATTTGAAAGTGAACTAATTGAATATTGAAATTGAAACTTGAATTTGATATGTAAAATATTCAAACATATTTGGGATATAAATATAAGTTCTTAATGTCTTTAAAATGTTTTTTAAAAAACCCAGAAATAGTAAGAATCCAGTCACACGAGAGTGTTAATACCTACACGATGGGCTCTGAATACTATTCTTTACTAAAAACAAGTAGTTCTTGGAGGAATAACTGGTTCCAGGGGTGGGGTGGGAAATGACAAACCGAAAATGAATCACCTTATTATGCTGGGAAGTAAGGAAGCTGACCACTGGCCAATGGTGGACAATTTCACCATCAAAAAGAATAATGATGGCAATTTATTGAAACTCACTAATTAAATAAAAATTCATGAATTTGTAATACCCCAAAGAGAAAGCCAAAGTAACAAACACAACTCATTTGTCACAGCTGGAGGTAGTCCATCAACTTCGTACTCTGAAAATTAATAATTAACAGGAAAGAATTAAGTCTTGATCTGCATTTTCTGTGAAAACTCTATTTGTAAGTCACAAAATAGTTGATGAGAGAGAGCTATTCTGACAGAAGTATTCAAATAAATGTAGAAAGGATGATAGAAAAATCACCATTTTACAACATGTAGCGAAATCACTGATTTAGGAAATGAGTATCAATGGCTGCTAAGACTAAAAAGTAAAATATTAATGAGGAGCTGGACATTCCGAGGGTGCCAAAGGGTCATACAACAACTTTACAACCAGGGATCAGGCAGTCACCACCTGAATCTGTTGATGAGTCTTAGCACTATTGAAAGCAGGGCAAATGGGTATTATTTACTTTCTGATGGGATGTAATATGAAGCACACAGTACCACCTTGAAGCATCCATGCCACAAATTTTAGCCCTGAATCTAACCAAGCCTTCATATGTAATTTATAGGTTATAGGGCATGGAAACAGATTGAAAAAAAATCTACAGAATCCAGAATTTTCTGGGACAGCTACCCAGTCTGTTTAAAAAAGCCACTGCTTGAATAAGTGGCAGTTGGGAAAATGATCATGCCTTGTGGTTATCACAAGGCATGATGACCTCTTTTGTCTCATGACAAAAAACACTTAAGAGCAACCTCAACTACAGCAAAAGAAACCCTCCACCTTCCTAGTTATTTCTGTGTCTTGAATGTGCACATGTACATATGTATTCTAACTAAAGAGTGTGGTTAGTATGTTGAGTGCTTAGTGTTTCTACTGACCTCTTGTGAAGAATGCAGCTGGCTTGTGATTCCTGCACTCCTTCCCAAATTCTCTGCCCTCTCCTTCTCACCTGCACTGAAGTTCATGAAACTAGTAGCAATTATAGGGGTATAAACAGAAATAGTTCTGTCAGAGGTGTTTGAACTAGAGCAACTCCATCTTGAATAGGGGCTGGGTAAAATATGGCTGAGACCTACTGGGTTGCATTCCCAGACACTGAAGGCATTCTAAGTCACAGGATGAGATAGGAGGTCAGCACAAGATACAGGTCATAAAGACTTTGCTGATAAAAACAGTTTACAGTAGAGAATCTGGTCAAAACTCACCAAAACCAAGATGGCCAGAAGAGTGACGTCTGTTCATCGTCACTGCTACACTCCCACCAGTGCCATGGCAGTTTACAAATGCCATGGCAACATCAGGAAGTTACCTTATATGGTCTAAAAAGGGGAGACATGAATAATCCACCCCTTGTTTAGCATATCATCAATAAATAACCATAAAAATGGGCAACCAGCAGCCCTTTTATTCCTTTACTTTCTTAACAAAGTTGCTTTCACTTTAGGGACTCACCCTGAATTCTTTCTTGCACAAGATCCAAGAACCTTCTCTTGGGTTCTGGATCGGGACCCCTTTCTGGTAACAGTTCTAACTCAAAATAGAGCTTCTCTGAGGTAGTCACATATTCTGGGCATCACAGAGTCCAATGTTATAACATACACCAGATAATGTTTGTGAGTAATAACAATGGTTATAGTTGCATATACTGAGATAAAAGTCATCAAATCTCATCCTCTATGATGGAAATCCGTTTCTGTGCTGTGCAGGATTGTGCTTCAGGGGTCTAAAAAATTTCACCCTAACTGTGTGCAGAATACTAATACTTGATTAGAGCTCTCTTTCTATCAAATGCAGGTAGTTCTAATGGGAATCATGGTCCAAAATATGATACAAATCTCACTGAATCAGCACCCTCAGGCCCCCGTTAAAAAATCTGGAACATTTATATGTGTGTGTGTATCCATCCAGGTTCATTTAACTATTATAGTCACACTGTCAGAATTATTCTGATTTATTTAAAATTTTAATTGGTTGAGTTTCTTAGTGAATAGGTAGATGTGGAGCAATTCCAAGTAAGTGGCAGAGATTAAATATCCTTAAACCTTAATAGGAATATTAGTGTATAAAATAAATTTAATTATGTAATAGCCTATAATCTACCTAGATCAGTGATTGTTTCTTCTCCTTCTCTCGTTCCCTCTTTCTCCCTCTGCCCTTCTCCAGATCCGCTTGAGAATCTTATTAATGTCAGGGTTCCCTTCTGAAAAAGATGTAAACATGAGAAAAATTAGTCCATAATTGCAGAGGGCTCCTGTCAACTCCCCCACTGTGGCAGATGGTATCTTCTGTAGACAGCCACAATAACAGCTCCCATCCCACATGCTCTTCTGCCATGGGATTTGCTGCTCTCCCACCAAGAGGTAGAGTCTAAGTTTTTTCCTCTCGCTTCTGGGCATTCCTGAGTGATTTGCCGAACTGAAAGAATGCAGTAGAAGAAATTTTCTAGGACCTCCAAGGTTAGATCGTAAGAAGCCTTGTGGTTTCCACCTGGGAGTTTTGGAGTGCTTGCTCTTGGGACACACCCCCTTACCACACAGCTGCCATCCTGTTAGGGTCACAAGCTGCAAAGAGAGGTCACATGTGGCCCCTCTGGTTGGCACACTCAGAGCTCATAGCCAACAGCTAACATCCATTGCCAGAGCTGTGGGAGGGAGCCATCCTGGTCATTCATTCCAGTGAGGTCTTCATTTTGACCTCAGATAACAACTGACTGCAGCTGGATAGAAGAGCCCATTCTAGCCCAGCTGACCCACACAAGGAAGAGCAGTAATAATAAATGGTTGTTTTCAGCCACTGAGTTTTTGGGGTGATTTATTACATAGCAAATACAACAAACTGTAACAGCCACCACCCCTGTTGAGAACCACTGCTCGTAATGATTTATTGAGAAAAGGCAATAAGTAACATTTATAAAGTTCAGCTAAAAATTATAAAGCCCTACAACACTAGCTGTATATTTGTGCATCTTATAGAAATCACTACCTAAGTTTGTACAACACTGAGAGCGCTTCTGATATGAGAGGGTTTGGCTTTTTATTTTATTTACAAATCAATAAGAGTAAAACTTGCTGTTCAGAAAGTGTTCTCCCACTTCCACAAGTAAGTAAGTGTAACGTCTGAGTAGTGTTCTACATTGGATTTAATGTTTCAGAATGCAGCAATATATCTCTTTGCCCCTCTTTTTTCCTCCCTTCTCTTTTTCCCTCTCTTACCTTTGTTCCCATCTTGTCCCCTTCCATCCCTATTTATATACACATATAAACCACATACATTAATTACTATATTACTTATGTTCTATGTGGTCAATATTGCAAATCCCCTTATCCCCAACTGACTGCCTAACACTGACTACCTTGATTTTATTTATTTATTTATTGAGACACAGTCCCATGTGTCGCCCAGGCTGGAGTGCAGTGGCACTATCTCGGCTCACTGCAACCTGTGCCTCCCAGGTTTAAGCTATTCTCCCGTCACCATGCCCAGCTAATTTTTTGTATTTTTAGTAGAGATGGGGTTTCACCATATTGGCCAGGCTGCTCTTGAACTCCTGACCTTGTGATTCACCTGCCTTGGCCTCTCAAAGTGCTGGGATTACAGGCATGAACCACTGCACTTGGCCAACTACCTTGATTTTAATACCAGGTAACATTAAGAAAAATCTTTTGAAAAGAATGTGTTATATGCTTTGACCCAGAAATTCCACCTTTAGATATTTTTCCTTAGAAATTAATAGTTAATTTGGAGATTTAGTCACAAGGATGTTTATCACAACTTTACATATTATAGGGGAAAATTAGAAATAACCTACATATACTTCAATAAGCGACTTAATAAATGATGGTATCATGTGCTACAAAATAATATGCAACAATTAAAATTAGGTAAATCTATTCATACTGACACAGCAAGATGTTCAGGATATATTGCTAAATGAACAAAAAAAGCAGGCCAGGAACCCTGACTTACGCCTGTAATCCAGCACTTTAGGGGGCTGAGGTGGGCAAATTGCTGGGCTCAGGTGTTCAAGACCAGCCTGAGCAACATGGTGAAACCCTGTCTCTACAAAAAATATAAAAATTAGCCGGGTTTGGTGGTGCCTGCCTGTAGTCCCCACTACTTGGGAGGCTGAGGCTGGAAGATTGCTTGAGCCTGGGAGGTTGAGGCTGCACTGAACTGTGTTTGTGCCAGTGCACTCTGGCCTTTGTGACAGAGCAAGATCTCATCTTTAGGAAAAAAAAAGGCAAATTGTGAAACACTAGGTATAATGAAATATTTTAATAAGCAACAATCAAATATGTATGTGCATGTATAGAGAAAACTAAAATTATATATACTGCTGTTAACAGAGGATATGTTTGGGTAGTGAGACGATAGCGTGACTTTCTATTTTCAACATTTTGGTATTACACTGATTACTTTGCAATATTAACAACTTTAACAACGTTTTATTTAGGTTGAAACTTTCTAAGAGAGTAGAAAACAACTGCCCCCCTGCCACACGGGGTGATGTGTTAATTTGATTGTTGTAATCATTTTGCAATGTATTCACATATCAAATCACATTGTACATTTAAAATATATACAGTTTTTGTCAAATACTTTATATTTAAGAAAAATTCATAAAATAAGATAGACTATACTATTGGAACTTATTATCTCTAAAAGTTTTTTTCTCTGTATATGAAGAAATAATTGAGTAAACTTTCAATGAATCCATGTCCTCATGTACAAAGTTAGTTTTGCAAGGAATTCTGTCTTACTATATGTGAATAACTTCTTCTTGGCACCATGCCTCTTATGATTTGTTGATTTGTGGTTTAGGACTTGTGTTACCATATATATTATTTTTCAAAGATTTCAAAATAGTTTTTATATGTGTGTATTCTATATCCTCAATGATATTGTAAATTCCTTGGTTATTGCATTTTCTTTCTATTGTACTATCTTCTGTGATGAATAAACATCAAGTGCTTTGCTGGTTGATGGTATAATTCAGGAGCTGCCAAACTACAGCTCATGGATCAAATTTGGTGAACCATTTGTTTTCGTATAGCCCTCCAGCTAAGACTGGGTTTTACATTTTTAGATGACTGAAAAAAATAACATCTTGTAACACATAACAATTATATGAAATTCAAGTTTAATTGCCCATATACAAAGTCTCATTGGAGTGCAGGTACATTTGTTTACATATTGTCTATAGCTGCTTTCATGCTCCAACATCAGAGTTTTAACAAAGACTGTATGTCCCACAAAGCTGAAAATAATTACTAGTCAGTTTCTTACTAAAAAAGTTTGCCAGCCCCTGAACATAATAAGTGTAAGTAGCATCAGAAAGGTCCCATTAAAAGTGTCCACTATTGTACCTTTAGTAGTATATGATAGATTATATTATTATTCTCAAGTCCTCTCTGCTTCTGTGTAACAGGATTATACATTTATAGCCATGTGGATATGACATTGCAGTGTCATCCAGTAGTATTCTACAAAGTATGCATCCCTGCTCTGATGTCTTTAGGCTGGGTCATGATATGCTTTGGCCAGTGGAACATTAACAGATGTGATGTGAGTGAGGCTTTAAATGTGCTTGCAGAGTTTGGCCTAGGTTCCTGAGCTTCTGTTAGCTGCCATGAGGTAGCAGCCATCTGTTCTGGTAACCATTGGTCCTAGAGTGAGAGACATGCAGAGCAGACCTGAACTTGAAGCCGAGTCAACCCAGCAGGTGTGCAGACCCATGAGTGAGAAATGAAGGTCTCCTGTTGAGAGTCACTAAGATTTGGGGGTTATCTGTTATGCAAAAACTTGACTAATACTGTCGAATTCATCCCTTATTAGTTATGGTGAGATTTGTGTAGCCCTCCTATACTAATAATATAAAAACCGGAAATCTTATTAGGTTTTGAAAGAAGTGATATGGATTACCCCAGGTAACCTGTAAATGTAACATATTTATACTGCTTTATGAGTACAGTCATAAGTTTGAGAAAAGTCTATTTATCTTTTTCACAGAGCTGTTCTAAAGCCTTGAAATCACATTTTCTGTGGATTTATTGTCCAATTGTATAAAAGACACTTGGTTGCTGTTAAAATGAATGAGCTGAACTAGCATGCTTCTCCAATCCTCTACTACTCTTGTCTGATGTATGGGGTGACATGATTTTCTGTATGCATTCTGTTTGTGATTGCTAAGTCTTGAAATGCAAATGTATTTTTACCTACAAAGTGGGAATCTTTTGTTGATATAAAATTTTGCCGTAGTAATAATCTAAATCTATACAAACTTTGTGTTATTTCCCATGGGTATTTAGAATCTGATTATATTAGTGAAGGTGTATAATTTCCTTAAAGCAAGGTTCCTTAACGGTGGCACTATTGACATTTTGAGCTGATTACTTGCTGTGGGGAGCTGTCTGTGCATTCTGCAATGTTTAGCATCCCTGGCCCCTGCAAGTTAGATGCCAGTAGCACATCCCCAGACCCTACTCTTCTTACCCTGTGCAGTCATGACAATCAAAAATGTCTTCATCTGTTGCCAAATGTCCTCTGGGAGGCAAAAATCATCCCATTTGAGAATGACTGCCTTATTAGGGGAGTTCTAATACAGTGTTTTTCATAACTAGTTACACATTATAATAATGTAGTAAGCCTTTTTTAAAAGTCTTATTTTGAGATAATTTCAAAATTACTGAAAAATTGCAATAATAATACACAGAACTCTCATATACCAATTGTTAGTATTTGCCAGATGTGCTTTTCATTCTTTCTCTACATATATACATAAATATTTTACTCTGACTCATTTGGGAATAAGTTGGATACAGGATGCTCCCTTGCCCCTTAATATTCAGTGTTTATTTCCTAAGAACAAGGACATTCTCATACATAATCCCAGTAGGATTAGCAAAAATAGGAAATTTAAGATAACTACAATATTATCTAATCCACAGTTCATATTCAGGCTTTGCCAATTATCCCAAAATGTCCCTTGTGACTACTTCGTCACTGTCCACAATTCAATAAAGGATGCACATGGTATTTTATTGTTGTATCTCTTGAGTCTCCTTTAATTTAGAATAGTTTCTTAGCCTTTCATTGTTTTTTTATAACCTCAGTATTTTTCGAGTGTACAGGCGAATTATTTTGTAGAATGTTCTCGATTTGAGTTTGTCTGATATTTCCTCATGATTAGATTCATGTTATGCAATTTTAGCACAAACATTAGTGAGTAATGCTGTAAACTTCTCAGTGCATCTCCTCAGGAGCCACTTGATGAAGGTAAATCCCTTTATTGGTGAGGTTAACGCTGATCATTTGATTAGGATGTATATTAGTTTCCTAGGGCTGCCATAACAAATCATCACAAACTGGATCACTTATAAAAGGTAGAAAGTTCTCTTGCAGTCTGGAGGGCAGAGGTCCAAAAATCAAGGTGTTGCTAGACCCTACTCCCTCTGGAGGGTCTAGGGGAGAATCCTTTTTATGCCTCCCAGCTTCTGTGACTGCCAGCATTCCTGTGGCTGCATCACTTCATTACTCCCTCCATCTCTGCATGGTCATCCCCTCCTTCTCTTTGTCCATGTCTTCTCTTCTGTCTCTTATCAGGACGTTTGTCATTGATTTAGGGTCCATCTGAGTAATCCCAACTTATCTGATCTCAAGATCCTTAGTTTAATTACATCTGCAAAGACGCCCCCGACCCCGCTACCACCACCATTTTTTAAAAAAAATAAGGTCACATCCCAGGTCCTGGCAATTAATATGTGGACATATCTTTTGGGGGTCACCATTCAAGCTAGCACATTTGGTGGCTGCCAGCTTGTTTCACTGTGAAGTTGTTATTTTCTCTTTGGCATTAAAAAGTAACTTGTAGGAAGACTATGTAAATATTTTATTCCTCATCACAATTCTCACCCATTAGTTTTAGTATTTATTGATAATTCTAACTCAACTGGTGATTTTCTAATTTCATCATTCCTTCTAAATTTATTAGTTAGCATTCTGTTTTAAGAGCTTCTCTCCCTCCCTTCTTTCTTTCCTTCATCCTTTTGTCTGAACAATATAGATGTGTTGATTCTCATTTTATTCACTGGGTTATAACCTATTATTAGTTTTATTTTCATGATCAAATTTTGCTACACCTGGCCTGCAAAAGTCTGCTTGCTTCTGTTTCCTTTGACATGATCTCCATCTTTTTGAGGATTTTTTTTACTTTCTGGCACAAAAAAATGTTCTAAGGTCAGGTTTTTCCCACCTCAGCCCCATTTCTCTAAGGAGTCACTGGATTCTTTTAGTGGGCAATAGTGGGTTTTTTTTTTTTTTTTTTTTTTTTTGTAGACACTGGATCTCCCTATGTTGCCCAGGCTGGTCTTGAACTCCTGGGCTTAAACGGTCCTCCTGCCTCAGCCTCCCAAAGTGCTGAGATTACAGGTGTGAGCCACCGCGCCCATCTTGGCAATGATATTTAGAAACCAAGATCTTGGTGTCTCAGGAGCTTTTTAGGAAAAAATGTTTTGCGTTCTACTTTGGGAGATTGTAATACGTATATCCTGGGGCAGGGCCCAGAAGAGAGAGAGAGAATGTGTGTGGGTGTATGTGTAAAGTTCCAGGTTGTTCTGTTGCATAACATTGTGTGGGAACCACTGCTGTAATGCATTTAAAACATGATTTAGCTTGTGCTAATTTTTTCAGGCACACATTTTCATCTAAAGGGACAAACAACTGTCTCATATCTTAAATACTGGATACCAGAAAACTAAGCAAGATAAAACCTACAATATCTGAAAGAATTTACTAGGTATTAGATGTCAATGATGGATGTTTAAGATAGAAAATGTGTTGCATAATGTAAAATAATTATTGATTATGAAATCAAGCCAAGTTAGATTCAAGTCTAAATATAATTACAATTTCAATTAAAAGAGAAAGTGGAATTTTTACTTTTAAATTGTATTTCTCTGACTATAATCCCTTTTTCTGTCACTCTCTATCTCACATTATAGAATTCATCACTTTATGGGAAGGGGTACAGGGAACACAAAGGTTTTCACAATGGAATAGAAAAATCATCTATTTCAATACCTGTGCTTGACTATCTTCAATAATAGATAACTCAGAGAAGGAACAAAATTACTTCAGTGAAGTCAACTGTAATGTTGAATAGCTATATCACATTTTGGTATTGAGCGTGAAAAAGCATTTTTTCCTTATGAAATTTTAGGTTAATCTTTTTTTATTTCTTAAAAAAAAGAGCATTCCAAGGTACTAAGATTCATATCGTGGGGAAGAATTTTTTTTCTATCTACAGATGATCAGTGAATATACCGAGACTTTGAGTCTGTAACTTTGCCTTAGTAAAAAGGAATATAATATACCTCCTCTTTCAGAAGATAAATTAGAAGAAAATTCCCCCATTGCAGTGAGAATTATAATTCTTAGCATTAATAAGTAGTAATTGTCATTTTTGAGTATATACCAGGAATTTTACACATTATCCTTATTTTACCAATAAAGAAACTAAAGTTCAGAGAAATGAAAATTTCCCAAGGTCATAAAGTTAGGAAATGGTTAAGCAGGGACTTCAGTCCAGTAAGGATAGGCTAAGTTATGGTACAGTAACAAACAACTCTCAAATCTCAGCAGCTTATAATAACGAAGGTGTAGCTCACGCTGTATGTGCATTGTTGGTGGGCTGTGGTTCCACTCAGTTACAGATTCACTTTAGAATTCAGGCTGACAGTGAAGCCTCTGTCTGTCTGGAGTTGTAGCAGAGGGGAAGGGGAGCACAGAAAACCACACACTGGCTCTGAACGCTTGTATAATACCTGAGAGAAGGAACAAAACCGCTTTAGTGAAGCCAGTAGTGCTGCTGAACAACTATGTCACATTTCGTTGTTGAACAATGGTATTTTGTATTTCAATAGCCAGAGCAAGTTACAGCTAAACCTGATGTCAGTGAGGTAGAGAAGTAGTGTCCTCTGATAGGGAGGGCCAGCCAAATATTTGTGGACAGTAACAGATTGATGTGTGGATGGCGTCATTTAACCTGAAGCCCATGTAATAGTTCCTTGGCCTTGGCAATTGATCTACATTGATCTACAAACAGAGGGAAGCAGAGACTGTTGTCTGATGATGGCAGAAGACTTGATATTGTTCTTTCTCTAACCAATATGGAGCTGCTGCAATCATTTTTCTACCACAAGGAAAGAAGTGTGACAAAAGCAGGAAGGCAGTGTCAAGAGGAAGGGAGCCACAGCACTGAGGACCCCATGAATCTCTGGAACAGTTCACCCTGAGAGTGGTCCACAGTCTGAACTTTCCAGTGATACAGTTTCATACATTCTCTCAGGTTTAATCCAGTTTGCATAAAATCTTTTATTACTTGTATTTCTAAGACATAATATTAAAATCCAAGGCTTAGCATAGTTCTGAACTGTCTTGAAAGAGGCACACATGTGTATATGTATAATATGCTTAATTTTGTGTAAAGCCAATGTAGCAACATTATGAACATTTTTTTAAATAAAGAGAAAATGATCTATTAGCATATTACCTAAAACATCAACTATTGGTAGGTTTGTGTATACACTTCCAGTCTCCACATCCCCACCATGTGCATTTATTTTTACATAGGTTGTTTCATTGCATACAAATAATTTTGTATGCTAGCCTTTTCACTTAAATGTATATTAAAGTTCTTTTCCAACATTGTTGTATAACATTTATAAGGATTGTTGGAACAGCTACATAATATTTCAGCCAATGGCCATAGTATAGTTAGATAAAAATTTTTCCTAATTTTGGACATTTAGGTTGCTTACAGTTTTTTTTATTTCATAGATAATAGTGCCATGCCTGTATAAATGTATGTGTATGAAGGAAAATTGGAAGGGTATATATAAAAACTGATATGATTGGATGCTTTTGTTCAGCCTCTGTGACCTCTAGACCATAAGTTGATGAAACTTACAGAATGTCTTTGTTCTAGAGACTTACACATGTAACACTGGTATCCTTTATTGTGCTAGGATAAAAAATGGTATAAAGATGTTTACAAAATCTTTTTATAAAAATTATGTATAAACATAATTTTTGTTAGATTAAATAATTATTTAGAATAATATTTGGAATAATTGATTAAAATTGAGAATACTAACTTCTGAATGGAAGCTAGTAGGATGGGGGACTTGCTAACATATTAGTAGTAAGTCAGAAGGAAATGCTTATTGCGATAAGTCAATAAAGAATATAGGCACAAATTATCTTGTGCTGGGATCCCCCAATGGCATATGCCATTCATGCAAATGTTTGGCCACTGTCCTCTGAGGAAGGTACACTGAAGGGGTCCAGCTCTATATTGTCCCCTGAGAGTCAGTTTGGTGTTCTGTATGGGTCAGATGGCCCTGCAGGCCTGGCCTGCTCTCTGGCCTCCGAGAGCTCTCTGTCTCTGGTCCAGCAGGCCCCAGTAACTTCACAGCTTGCACACTTTCCAGAGAACTCAAGATAGTAGTCCCCTTGCTCACCTGAGATTTGTTTAGATTTTTATCTATTTGTTAGAAATCATTAAAAGGGGCTTAGATGTTGGTATTCAACAGTAATGTCCAGGCAGTTCTCCAAGCCTATTTACTTTTCTCAGTCTCTTTTAGGAACTGGAAGACCAGTGGATCCTTGATTGGATGTTGAACTTTGTGGCCCTGCTAATCTTGGTCTAGAGGTACAGGGCTGCAACTGTAGATCTTGATACCTATTTCTCTTCCCAGGTCTCTAGGTCTCAAACATGATTTCTTGACAGTGATATTAGCAGAAGCATTTAATCTGTGCCCACAGGGGCATTAACAGCAGGGCCAGTTTGTGCAGTGGATCTGATTTCCTAAATCAGGGAATTGTTCCTTGGCAGGGTGTAGGCTGGCTTGGGACAAAGCAGTTATGAGGAGTGGAATCATAGGGGTGTATATTCGTAGCTTTTGAGCAGAGAACAAAAAAATGGGCCTACATTTCAAAAGAAGCCTAGTAAGAAAGAATCTGCTCATAATAAAGTTGGTCAAGTAGAGGCTCACGAGAAGAGGCTATACCATCTCTTCAGAGACAGTGGGAGTATAGGTTGATCTAGAAGTGAGAGGATCTGTAGCATCTGTTCCCAGAAGTGGGGACAAGGATTAAGGACTGCCAGTGAAAATTAGACCTTGTAAAACAGACAAAATGCAATTCCATGATCGCTGCATAAATGAGCAACTTGTGCAATCACTTTAACTGAAATGACTAATTATTTAACATATATCTTTGGCTAAATTCCATTCAGAGAACACAGAGAAATAATGGCTTATTTTTTTATTACAAATTTTAAAATGTTTAAATTTTCAACCAATGGTTTTAGTATTATCTTAGATATTGCCTTAGAGTCTGCTTTTATAGCACTTCTCTTCCAAAAAACTTCCAGTATAATGCCAAGAACATTTATCCTTCATAATTCAGATTTGGAGTTATGCCAAAGCCTGTTATAAATTTTATTTTGATATTTGGTTCTGAATATGTAACGTAGACCAACATATCCTTATTCATTTTCAACAAATGCCAAATTTTCAAAGCAGCGTTATACAAGTGACTTCTTTATCAAGACTTTAGGGTCCTCAGGCTATCTCAGGTGCACAAAATGGAAACTCCCTGAGGGCAGGGCCAAGCTTGTAGTATTCAGTGGCTTCTCCTCAAACTTAGTAAGCCCTTTACTGGCTCAATGGATAATACATGCTAATGAATTTCTTCTTATAGCTATATTTACTGAAAAAAAAGGTTAAGGGGAAGTAGAATAATACATTTTATCGGATGAAGGAACTTGAATGAAGTTCCCATTTGGTGAAATATGTGCTTAGCACATAAACAAAGTATATAGCTGTTTAAAAAGAGACAAGAAGCCAAAAAGTTTGTAGCATGTTTTCTCTTTTCAGTATTCCCCAATCTACAGTTTATTATTCCATTTTCTTAAGGGTTTTTCTCTGCACTCTATAATTACCCTGAAGGACCATCACTAAAGGGCGAATCTGGTACTTCTGCTTGCAGAAGTAGCCCCTTGGTACCTCATGGAGATGAAATTCTCAGGCTTTCAGTTCCCATTTGGTAATAGCCCCATGCACATCCACTCTGACAGGCGACTGATTGCTTTTGGCAGCAGAGTGAAGTGTGTGCACAGGAATGGCTGATGGAGGAAACTCTGCAGAAGAATTCAGGAGTGAGGACAGCCTGGACTGGTTGGGAAGGGGGCAGCTAAGAGAACAGGTGCCATGGATGCTGTTCAACAAGAATGGCAACTCAAAGAGCTGTGGATAACTCACAGGGAGCCCGACTGGCATGTCCACCTTCCCCATTTTCTGAGGGAGCCATTGCCCTCCCATGTATTCTTGGAATCCTTATCCACATTGCTTGCCCAACAAACATTCAGTAAAGACAAATGAGAGAACTTGAGAATAATCCAGAATAGCTTGGTACATGGAGAAAAGCAGTCATAGTATACAGCAATTACTCAGAGAGCTAAGAGTCTGAGGTCTTCAATTTTATTTCTGAATAAAAATTTACTTTAAAGTAGAAATATACTTGGCATCTTTAATCAGTCCCCTGTGAAATGGGCATAATTTCATTAATGTATGCCACACAGATGCTATTGTGAAGATTAATTAATGCTTTTAAAATGTGGACTTCAAATTAAAATTATTTCACCTTGAACCAAATAAAAGACCCTTAACATTAACAGACATGTATATCTATACATGTTAAATACTAAGGAATTTCCTTTCTTTTTTTCTCTGCTAAAACTGAAAAACCCCAAACAATAGGATATTTTTAACCCCACCATGTAACTGTAATTACTAATGGCAGAAACAATGCTCACATAAATGCTGTAAGACTTAGCAATTCCTTGAAGAATCTGATTCATAAGGGAAAAGTGCTCTTCCGCTATTTTAAGCACTTAGGTGCACGTTCTCTGAGTGAGTCTACTGTCATAGCAACTGATTTACCACAGAAAAGCAGGGAAATGTCTTAAGTCAGGGGTGCTTTTCCTTACCCTTTATTTGGGAATCTTTCCTTGACTTTTCGAATTAAGCTTTGTGACTCAGACAACTCTCATGAAAAATTTCATTCAATGAATAACAATTCTGTGGCAGTTAAAAAATTTCTAAAGTGCCAGGTTTAATGGTTCAGATGTTATGGTTTAGCACCTAAGGTTCTGAAAGCATACCAGAATGTCAGATAGTCATGTCTGACATGACTCTCATTCTCAACGAATGAGAAAATGAACCTGTGGGTCTGTATAAATATATACAGAAAATTCAGATTGAGAGAATCCAGACCAGTCTGAAATTTAAAATTTAAAGTTCATCTGGATCATCCTAGTTTTTTTTTTTTTTTTTTTTTTGAGATGGAGTCACTCTGTCACCCAGGCTGGAGTGCAGTGGCGCGATCTCCACTCACTGCAACCTCCGCCTCCCGGGTTCATGCCATTCTCCTGCCTCAGCCTCCTGAGCAGCTGGGACTACCGGCACCTACCACCATGCCAGGCTAATTTTTTGTATTTTTAGTAAAGATAGGGTTTCACTGTGTTATTTAGGATGGAATCACCCTAATTTTAATCACATTATGGTTAATATGATCCCACATGGAATTACAAACTACTTTACATATTCCAAAAAAGTCAGTCAAATAACCAATAGCCTGAAAAAAGGTATCCCACATTTAGAAACTGAGGGGAAAAAAATTAATCCTTTGGGGTAGATGTTTTAGTGGCTCCCCATCAATAAACAATGAAACAATTGGTGAGGCGGGAGATACTATGTAATGACTGTTGTGTGACGATAAAGTTCTAAAAAGGGTTTCATTTCCCCTATATTTGAATTTTCTAAAGTCACAAAGGTTTTGTATAAAATGGCCATAGACATTCACCAAATTAAAGTGTTCAACTTGGGAAAGCATATTAACCTTTTAAAAAAGAGGAGCGTAAGAAAAGAAAATACATACCTGAAATCACTTATACAAAACCCTCAGGGTCCAGAAGTGTTTTGTAATTTAGGACTTTTTGAATCTTGGAGTGATAATAAGATAAATTACACCAAATCATACATAAGATACCCAGTGGGGTCTGGGGTAGAACCCTGTAATGAAACAAATTGATACTGCTTCAGTGAAATGTGTGAACATTCACACTGATTGGGATCAATGGAGATTAAAAATAGCCTCAAGTCAGTTGAGGACAAGCTTTGTTGCCAAATGAGTTCACATCAGGTCAGGTTTTGATGCCAAATGAGTTATGAAAAGTCTTTCATTTATCAAATCTCTTTGGACTTCTAAATAGGTAGAAAAGGGATTGTCAACCTATACTGCCTTATGCAATGGCTTCTATACTTTTCCCTCTGCTCATTGAGTACACCTGAAAATATGCACTGTTCAAAAAAGAAAACAGATGAATTAAGAAGTGTTGAAGCTACAAGAAGTTAGCAAAGAAAAATAGAAATATTTAGGAACATCTGCCTTTCAACAGAATATTTTTACTGTTTCTAGTAAAAACAATAAGCTGAATGGATGGAAAAACTGACCTGAGATGTAGTGTGATGGTGCATTATTGGCACAAATATGGGCAATTAGGAAAAAACTTCACACAGTAGTGGAATGAGAATGTGAAATGGGGAATAATGTTCTATATATGGGCTGTCTAGCAACAATAGGTATTTTTTAAAGAAAGATTTCAGGCCTGGCGCAGTGGTTCACGCCTGTAATCCCAGCACTTTGTGATCCACTTGAGGTGAGGAGTTCGAGACCAGCCTGGCTAACATGGTGAAGCCCCATCTCACTAAAAATACAAAAATTAGCCGGGTGTGGCGGCAGACTCCTGTAATCCCAGCTACTTGGGAGGCTGAGGCATGAGAATCGCTTGAACTTGGGAGGTGGAGTTTGCAGTGAGCCAAGATTGTGCCACTGCACTCCAGCCTGGGCAACAGAGCAAGACTCCCTCTCAAAAAAAAGAAATACTTCAAAGGAATTAAATTTAACAGAGTTTGAGCAAAGAACAATTCATGAATCAGGCAACACTCAGAACCAGAAGAGCTAGGAAGAGTCCACCCAGAAGAGTGAGCAGCAAGCTTTTATAGTCTGGACACAGAAGCAAAGTAGAGCAATCATCTGATTGGCTACAGCTAGGTATCTGCCTTATCGGGGCTTGGCGCAATGAGCTGGCTGGCTATGATTGGCTGAAACTCGGCTGTCGGTTATACTTCTAAGTTAAGTTTCAGCTTGTTTACATACTAAGTTAGGTTGCAGTTTGTTATACAGGAATCGCAAAGTATGGACACAACTTCAAGCTAATGCCTCGTGCTTATTTAACAGTATTATCATGTGACAGACAAAGCTGTGGAGAGGCAAAGAGTAAGGGATTTGGCATCAGTTAAACTGAAGTAAGCCTCAGCTTCCCCATCTGTGAAGTGGGAGAGTTACAGGTTGTTGGAGGTACAAATAAAACCTGTAAAACACTTAGCATAGTGTTTGGTGTATGGCTAGCAGTGGAAAAAAGAAGCAACAAAAAGTTTTTACAGTTGGTAAAGATACAAATATCTCATTCATCCAGTATGTTTAGTTGACATCAGTGATGTCACTGGATTACACAGAAATGGGCAATATTCTCTACTAGCAATATGCCTCTGATGAGGCCACTCTTAGGAGAAAAATACATTTGAGTGATGTCTCTTGAATAGAAATCTTGCTTCGGTTATACCTTAAAATAACATCAAAGTGACTATAGTAAATCAAAACTTAATTGTACATTTAAAAATAACTAACAGTGTAATCGGATGGTTTGTAACACAAAGGATAAACACCTGAGAGGGTGGATACCCCCTTCCCCATGGTGTGATTATTATGCATTGCATGCAGGCATCAAAATGTTTCACGTACCCCAAATATGTATACCTAGTATGTACCCATAAACATTTAATTTTTTTAGAAAAGAAGAAAGAACATTTTTTTTTTTTGTCATTGTTGTTAAGATAACTAACTTCCCCATTCTGGCCCACTGCCCTAAACTTTCCACTTTGTTTTGTGTGATACTGGGTTTTATATCAACCAGTGTAGAAGCCCCCAGAATTTGGCTACATCTGGGTTCAGAAAACTATTTTCTTCTCCAGTTTTCTGAATTAATCTTATTTCTTGGTTGTCATATCTCATAACTCACATCCTTCTATGTAGTGAATTTTGAGCTTTCTCTTTCCCCTTCATCATAAAGCTACATACCTGAAAGAAAGCGAGCCATTCCCTTTTATCACTTTTCTTCAATTTTCACTATAAAACTAATTCATATACTTCGTTGAATTTTCTTTTTAAAAGCACACACACATATATGTGTGAAGTAAACAAGTAAAAGGAAAAAAATCTACCATGAACTTTCACAGTTTCATTACCTCAATTCCACTCTCCAAAGATAATTGATGTTAACCATTAGGCCTGTGATCTTCCAAACAACTTTTTAGGTATATCCATAACCATTCACATTTTATGTGTTAGGGAGAAATTTATTGTTGATGACTTAGTAAAAATAAAGTAATTCTATACATACTGTTCTGCAGCTTGGTTTTTTTCATCTTTAACAATGTACTATGGACATCTCATATTGTTACAAATACAACTTTCCCATTTTTGTAGTAAGTTGTGTTCTTTAAGCATAATTGTGTGTAGTCATTAATTTATTCATTTGTTTACTTAAGTAATATCTGTTGATCATCAAAATGAGGAAAATATGTGCTAGTTGCTGTGGAAAATACAAAGTTGTAAGATACATAGTTTTTGCCTATTAGATTCTTATTATAATCTGGAAAAATAAGACACAAAAATATATAACAATGATATTAAGTAGTATAAGTCAGAAGAAAGTAAATTAACTTTTAAAAAGCTGACCAGGAAGGCTTTTTAGGAGATTTTGGATTTGTACTGAGATTGGAAAGATTGATTGGATTTCAACAAATGTAAAAGAGGTTAAAAAAAATCACATTAGCCAAATCTTCAAGGGAAGAAAAAATAGGACATGTTTAAAGGAAGGTCACCTCATTTTGTCAAATCCAAATGTACTGATTGTAAAACATCTTGATTTCAAAGATATTAAAAAGTGGGAGGGTGGGAAATATTCAAGTTAAATCAAGAAAATATAGCATTTGGTCAATTTGATTGGAGTGGCAGATTTCCAGAAGGTAGAACCAGTGCTAAATCTGAACAGTAAGTAGAGCCGATAATGGAGAATCTTGAATGCCAGGGTAAATCTGATATTTTCTGTTTTTATTTTTTTCCCAGATATTTCTTTTTTATTAAAAGCTATTAGAAATTAGAATGAGACCAGATAACCTAATCTTAAAGAATAAGTCAGCCGGGCATGGTGGCTCACACTTGTAATCCCAGCACTTTGGGAGGCCAAGGCAGGTGAATCTCTTGAGGTCAGGAGTTCGAGACCAGCCTGGCCAACATGGTGAAACCCTGTCTCTACTAAAAATACAAAAATTAGCCATGCGTGGTGGTGTGCACCTGTAATCGCAGATACTCAGGAGGCTAAGGCAGGAGAATCCCCTTGAACCTAGGAGGCAGAGGTTGCAGTGAGCTGAGACTGTGCCATTGCACTCCAGCCTGGGTGACAGAGCAAGACTCCATCTCAAAAAAAAAAAAAAAAAGTCTATATTCTAGAGTTCTCATTCAAATGATGTCTTTAAAACTATTGGTACATTTTGGCAGCCTCTTCCATTGGCTGTTTCTTTCACTAAAAAGTTAATATTTTAAAAATTAATTTGCTCATGTGTTATTTCATGTGCCCAGTATTATGCTAGGCGCCAGGGTATCATTGGTGAGCAGGACACATTCTTAGCTCCCAGTGCTCATAGCCTGGTTGACAGACTTTCCAGCACCTTCTCCTCACTTCCCAGACATCATCTGCATCAAACTTTGCCTGCCTATCAACCATTAAAAATAAGCATCACCTAGACGTCACCTTCTGCTGCTTCGGCCTTGTTCCTGGTTTGTGGTTATGATTTCCTGTTTGCCTTGCTGAACTATGATTTCTTGAAATCCCCATGCCCTTTCTTAACTCCTAGGTGACTTTTTTCCCCAATGTACTTTTACTTAAAGCAGAACTATTTACAAATAAAATTTTACTTTTGTTACAGCATCTTCATAATTATTTTCTAAAATTAGAAAAAAAGTTGGCTTTTAGATTCCCTTAGTGTTGATGAAGACAACCGCAATGAAGATGCTGTTGTGGACTTAGAGATATGCTAAAATCCACCACAAAAAGTTTCCTTTTATAAACACATATGGAGAAAATCTCTATTTGGGACAGAATTTGGCATGAAGCTCTGCATTCACACTTAAGATTTTTAGTTTCCTTGAGAAATTGACCCCTCTAGTGTTATGAAATGTCCCTCTTTGTCACTAATAGTATTCCTTCTCCTGGAGTCTACTTCATCTCATGTTAATACAGCTATTCTAGTAGTCAGCCTTCAGGATAGTCCCCAGTCATCCCTACTTCACAGTATATAGACCTTTGTGTAGTCTTCTCTCACATTGTACCACAGTTGGTCTGTGTGACCAATAAAATATGGCAGAAGTGATGTTATTTCACTTCTGAGATTAGATTATAAAAGACTATGGCTTCTGTCACAGCTCCTGCCCTTGCCTCTCTCTCTCTCTCTTTTTCTTGGATCACCTCGGATCACTTCCTCTCAGGGAAGGCATGTCATAAACAGCTCTGTGGAGAATCTAGGTAGCAAGGAGCTGATGCCTCCTGCCAAGCACCACATAACTGGGCTTGGGTGCAGATCCTTCAGACTTGGCCAAGCCTAACTCCTAGACAATGAGAGACCTCGAATCAATACCCGGCCAAGCCACTCCAGATTCTTGACCTACAGAAACAATGAGGTAATAAATGTATGTTGACCACCCCACATTTGGTGGTTGGTCAGGACTCATAAGACTCAAAAGAAGGCTATATTCACAGCTACGGTTTATTATGACAAAGGATACAGAGAAAATAGCAGGATAAATATTTTTACTGGGCGGAGTCCAGAGAGAACCAGTATAGGCTTCAGAGTCTTTCTTCATTAGAGGCCACACAAGATGTACTTTCCCCCTAGCAGTAACTTACAGGAACATGTGTGAAATATCTCTACCCAGGATCCAAAGAATTTTTGGTATGCTGGTCACATAAGCATATCTTGCTATGTGACCAACCATGGCAACTGAAATACAGGACTCCAAGAATGAAGCCAGGTGCACATCATTAATCTTGATACTTGTACGAAGCAACCTGAAAAGCTAGTATAGCACAATCCATTGCTTCAGGTGTACACAACAAAATCATCAATCCCTGACATCCAAGAGCCATGTTCTCAGTGACTGGCAAAGGGTCAATCATGGTTCTAGGTTCTGTTGGAGCCATGCAAGGAATAAAGGACCACATCTGCTCTGTTAACTCTTTCC